ACTTGTGTTTTGTGTTGTATGTCTGTATGTGCGTATGTCCATATATCATATATGAGGGGCGCTCATGAAAAAATGTATCCAAATTTTTTTTTATTCACGTCATTTAAATGGTTTAATTTAAATTGGGTAAACAGCTGTTGAGGATTGTTTTAATATGTGAACAAAAAAGAAGGTTAACAGATCTGTTTGTTTACTTTCACCTTTCCTTTTCATTATATTTAATAATTCTGTTCAGGATAATGTAAATTGTTCAGAAAATTGTTTTTTTAGTGCCTGATGGAATGTTACATAATTTTCTTTTAGCCATCATTGCCAGAATTCCTATCTTCATCCTAGTGCCAGTGAAGACAAAGATAAAACCAAACTACAGCTTCTGCGATAGCTATCACAACAAACTATATTAACTGATGCATCAATGAATAACATAACTCAAAAAGTGATGCTCAATCAAGGAGTCAATTTACTTTGGGAGGAAATGAACATATTAATAGATTCCTCTGCTTTGAACTGCTTACAGAACTTGCCTGGACTATGCATTACTTATATGCATTGTGAACTATCGATCGGTTGGTGCAGCGAATTGTGGTAGTGCTGGAGTATCTTTGCTGATGGTGTCATCGGTGGTACAATTTTTCCAAAAGAGCTGTCAATTGGCTTGGTGTCGTGGCATTTCTGTATTCTCCTACCTTCTGCTTGTGATGTCGTTAGCTAAAATTTGGGGGCCAACAGAGGTGAGGCAAAAAACCTCACCCCCCCACTGGTGCAAAGGCCTATCCACAAGTATGGCTGTATGCTGGACCGGTAGTCAATGATGGGTAAGATCCAACTGCAATGGTACCAACCTAAGACAGGAGGCTGACGCCTTGAAGTCAGTTCATCCGATGATGGGTAAGGATCATATGTAGTACTGGACAATCTAAGACAGGCACAGTCCCAAAGCCACAAGCTTGGTGTTTAATTAAACAGAAGGGGGGAGATGCTGAGAGCCACAGCCGAGTCGGAATCATGCATGCATTTTGCCAGAAGAGAGTGGTTGAGTGGTGATACCAGCGAGCCATTGAAATGATGATGGTTAAGTTAAGCTGTGTATTCAGTTGTATATAGACCCCTGCTGTCCGCCTCGGGCGCCCGCTACTTTGGAGTTCTTGTAGGGATTCCTGGGGATTTCGTGTTGGTTGGTGAAGTTCTGGTGGAGGGAGTTCTGGTTGGTGTGGTGTCCCTGGAAGGCCTGCATGGGTGGTGTTCGGGGGAGTTCGGAAATAAAGTTTGTTCCTGCTTGAGTGGCTCATGATTTGTGCCCAGCCAGACTGCGGTACAGAAACCCTTGTAGTTCCTGATAGTAAGAGTGGGAGCAAAAGCCCTTGTGCTCTGGCAGGGGAAGGAGGAGCCACTGTGACGTATGCTACAGCACTGCCCTTAACATGCTGCCTCAGGAGAAACTGATCAGTGGCGGCTTGCTGGTGTTTCCACCAAGCCTAACTGACATGAAGAGAAACCCACTTTAAATACGAAGACACCTGAGATAGAGAATACCAAGAGGGAGCAGAATCTGCCACGTCACAACTGAAGAGGGTGTGCACCACTGCAATGGCACACAGACTTTAGAGACAGGAGAGGTCAGGGACAAAGAGAGATGTCCTATATCAAAGGGGCCAATACTCCAGGACATAGCAGTACCAGCAACAGAGCTTCAGATGTGAGCCAACACCCACAACCTGGAAGCAGCGGGGAAGAGTTCATGTGATCTCTGGGAACCTGAAAAACCTCCAGCACACATGGCAGGCCCAGCAGCTGGCAACAGCAGCAACACTAGCAGGGTACAGCTGACACCCCCAGCCTATGCAACACATGCAACACCAAAGAGTACACTCCTCAGGCTCACATGCAAACTTCTCCAAAACAGGAGATGCTCTGGGACATGGAACTCACCTTAACAAGTTGAGGACAGAAACTACCAAATGTCAGGTCTCAGATCACAGAGAAACTAAACTAGGAATCAACAGCAAAAAGACAGTTGGAAAATTCCCAAACACTAATGAGATTAAACAATACATACATAAATAACATGTACATTGAAGAAAATTGAGAAAAAAATTAAAGACTTTTTCAAATGAAAATGAAAATTCCACTTATCCATATTTTTTGGGTGCAATGAAAGAAACGTTGGCAAAAACGACAGCATTGACTCCTGTATTAGAAAAGAAATAGTCAAAACCCAAGATTTCACCTTCAAAAACTGGAACAAGAAGATGAAGTTTAAGTCCAAGATAAGCAGAAGAAAAGAAATAATAAGAATTAGTACAGAAATCAATTCAAGCGATCTGAGGAAATTGACAAGAGAAAAATCAATGAATCAAAAATCTCGCCAAACTAAGGGAAAAAGACAGAAGATGCAATGGTCCACATCTGAAATGGAAGAGGGACATCAGCACAGGTCCCACAGACAATGAAAGGAATAGTCCAAATAATTTACTGCCCACAAATCTGATAACCTACATGAAACTGACCAATCTCTGAAAGACAAATTATCACAATTCGGATAAGAAACAGGCAATCTGAAGAGGCCTGTGTCTGTTACAGAGATTGGACCCATCCTCAACGACTTTCCAGAACAGCACCATTTTCACTGGTGTATTCCACAAAACATTCAATGAAGAAATTCTAGCAATTTGCTACAATGATCTTCAAAAGATGGAAGCAGAAGAGAATATGCCCCAACTCATCCCATGAGGCCAAAATGTCTCTAATACCAAAAGCAGAGGAAGACATTACAAGAAAACTACAGAATAACATCTTTCACAAACATAAGCAAAAATCTTTCATTAAATTCTACTGAATCAAACCCAACAATGTATGGAAACAACTGTGTACCACAGTCTAATGGAATTTACCCTAGTCATGCAAGGTTGGCTGGACAAATGAAATGCATTAATGTAATCCACCATATCAAATAGCTAAAAATACAATCCCATGATCATATCAGCAGATACAAAAAAAAGCATTCGACAAAACCCAACATCATTCATGACAGAAACTCTGGGCAAACTAAGAATGGAGAAGGAACTTCCACAGCTTGATAAAGAACACCTACAGCCAACTCGCAGCTGCCAGCTTTTCCTGGACGGCAAGTGCATGAACGAGGGTGTGTCTGCTCTGACCGCTCCTTTTCAGCATGGTACTGCAGTTCTAGTCAATAAGGCAGGAAAAATACAGGGTGTAAAGACTGAGAAGGAAGAAATAAAACTGTCTTTGCCAACAGATGACATGGTTGTCTATGCAGAAAGTCTGAATCAAAAAACCTCGTGTAAGTGATCACACCAAGATTGTGAGACACTAAGTGAAAAGCCAAAGTTTATCACTTTATATCAGCAATGAGCAAGCAGACGTTGAAATTAAACACACAATGCCATTTATATTAGCACCTCAAGAAATCAAATACTTAGGCTTAAGTCTAATAAAATATGTAAGAAGAAAACTATAAAACTCTGAGGTAAGACAGAACTAAATAAATGCAGAAATACCCCATTCTCACGGATTTAAAGACACAATATTGTTAGATGTCTGTATTTCCCAGCTTCACCTATAGTTCAATGCAGCCTCAATCAAGATCTCAGCAAGTTATTTTGTGAATATCAACATACAGGTTTAAAAGTTCACATGGAACAGCAAAAAACACAGATCAAAAAGAGGACTAAAGTCACCGTGGCTAAGACAGTGTGGTGCTAGCAAGAGAACAGACAGCACCTGAGCTTTACTGAGCAGGAAGCAGGCAATGCACAGGCAAATGCAGCCAAAGGTCCTGGATGAGGTGCAGAGGGAATCTGGTAGAGAGAGACTCCCCCAAACTGTGCTCTGGGAAAGACCTTCAGAGGGTGAGAAGGTAAGCCACAGACAGGGAGACCAACGGTTAGGGAAAACAGGAGAAAGCATACACAAAGCACTCTTAAAGTGTAGGAAGAAAATGAAAAAAATTTGAAAGTGAGCACAAGACAAGAACACCTTACCAAAGAAGATTCACAGATGATAAATACACATGGAAAGGCGCTCCCCACTGTCCGACATTAGGGAACCACGACTTAGAACAGGGGAGCACCACTGCACACCTGCTAGGAGCCAGATTCCTGAACACTGATGCAAATGCTGCTGAGGCCCTGACACATGGCAACAGCTGTCCTTCCCCAGGCACCATGAAGGACAGTCTGGCAGTTTTTCACAAGACAGGACATGTTCCTCCCACATGTCTGAGCAGCAGGGCTGAAGCGAGCTAAAGCTTATGCTGCACAGAACCAGTCTCAGGACATCTACAGCAGCTTCCTAATAACTGCCACCAGGAGTCCTCAGCCTGCACTGAGCTAGGAGAGGCACGGAGGGACCTCACACACAGCACCAGTGCAAGAAGCCCCTGCAGCCTGTGCAACCCCAGCTGTGACGCCCTGGGAAAGGCAGAACTGGGGAGAGAGCAGCAGAGTTGGGCTCCAGGGAGGAGGAACAGGCAAAGCACAGGGGACTCTCAGGCAGTGAGCCTGGTCTTCAAGATTACAGAGATGGTGGCATGCCACTAGGCGGGTCAAACCCACAGAAGGCCCAATGGCAGGCGGAGGCCAGAGAGAGGTTCACGCAGATCATGGTGGCACAGACGCCCACTCCAGCCCGGCCAGCACACACGGAAGTGTGTGTGCATGGGGCTCAAGCACACAGGAGCTCTGTACTGCGCCCTGTGTGGGCGCACTAAAAATACTCTAAAAAGCCTACTTTCTAAACTTCCACGAATTGACACACACCATCGCATTTTCTACTTCATTCCACTTTCTCTTTCAGGAAATTTCAGTCACCCCTGGTAAACTTCCAATGAAACCAGCTGCTGTGGCCCTGCTGGGGGCCCTGCCAGTGGCCTGGCTGGAGCAGGAAAGCAGAGCTCTGGGCAGGGTCCAGCTGGCTCAGGAGCTCCACTCCCCACCCCAGTGACAAAGCCCAGCCCTCAGCCTGGCCTGGCACAGTACCTGGAGGGAGGGTCTCCGCGCTCTGTGCTTTCTCCTCGCCATTGATGTGGTGAAGGTCTTTCTTTTTAATGGGGTCGATTTCATTCCAGTCCTCCTAAGGGAACAAAGACACCAAGTGAGCATGCCTCCAGCCGTCCGTTCCCCATGCCATGCCTTGTGACACCCGCAGAACCCAGGTCACAGCGGTCAGCAAGGAGAGCTCTAAGGGCCCTTCTGACAGCCTGCGGATGGCCCAAGGCCAGGGAGGCCCGCACCTGGTCACACCCCACAGGACAACTCTGAGGGTGCATGGGATAGGCAGAGGATCACGGCCACGAGGCGAAGGTGGCTCAGACATCCCAGTAATTTGTGGGCACCTCCCTGAAGGGCCTGGAACCCTTCCAGCAGTCACACGACCCATGTTAACCCTACTGACGCCTGGGAAAGGTCCTAGGGCTGGCCAGGGGACAGCCATGGGGCAGGGGCCTGGGGCTGTCTGGGCATGGCCATAGAGCAGGGGGCTAGGGTTGGCTGGGGCATGGCCATAAAGCAGAGGCCTGACTTTCTGGTGATGGCCATGTAGCATGGGCCTGGAGCTTGCTGGGGACAGCCATGGAGCAGGGGCCTGGGGTTGGCTGAGGCATGGCCACGGACAGAAGCCTAGGCCTGGCTGGGGGATGGCCACGGAGTAGGGGCTTAGGGCATGCTGCAGATGACCATGTAGCAGGGTCTTGTAACTTGCTGGGGATGGCCATGGGGCAGGGGTCTGGGGCTGGCTGGGGATGGCCATGGAGCAGGGGCCTGGGGCTGGCTGGGCCATGGCCATGGGGCAAGGGTCTGGGGCTGCCTGGGGCATGGCCATGGGGCAGGGGTCTGGGACTGGCTGGGGACAGCCATGTAGCAGGGGCCTGAAGCTGGCCAGGCCATGGAGCAGGAGTCTGGTTCTGGCCAGGGGAGAGCCACGGAGCATGGCCATGGCCATGGAGTAGGGGCCTAGGCTGGCCAGGCCATTACCAGGGAGCAGAGCCCTGGGGCTTGCCAGGGGACAGCCACAGAGCAGGGCCCTGAGGTTGGCTGGGCTATGGTCATGGAGTAGGGACCTGGGGTTTGCTGGGGACAACAATGTAGCAGAAACCTGGGGCTGGCTGGGTTGTAGCTATGGAAGGGCCTGGGCCTATCTAGGGACAACTATGGAGTAGAGCTGAGGTTAAACACCGAGTGTGAAGGCTGAGCAGGACTCAGTTCCAGCAGACTTATCCCACTCATCTGGGCCAACAACATGCTGTCACTGGTCAGCACTGAGTCATGCCAAGGGAGAGCTCCATGACCACATAACTCTTCAACCTGACTTCTGTGCACCAAGGGAGAAGGGTCTCACGCGACCCAGGCAGAAGCCCTTGAGCCCCTGCTGTCCACACAGAGGATGCTGTGTGGCAGGACCCATCCCTGCGGCCCAGCCACTCCTGCCCTGCTTCGGGCACCATGGGCCAGCACAGACTGCTGGCTTTTCATGGTATACAGGGAGATCGGCAAGAAGGGTAATTCCTGGGGTCTGGGCCAGCAGACTCCAACTCCAAGTGCAACTTCCCTGCTGATAACCTGCTTCCTGCTTGAGGGGTGCAGTGACTGAAGGGAAGCTGACTGCAGCCCCCCACCTCAGGTAGCCTATCCTTCCCTGACTTCCAAAGCTGAGCAAAGCATAAAGTCTCTCACTGCCCAGCCCTGGGAAGGCGGGTGGAGCACACAGGGTGGGGTGTCCCCTCCTGCACACAGCCTTTCAGTCCCCAGGTGCCTAGCAGTTAGGTGGTCTTCCCAGGTGGTAACAAACATGTTAAAATGTGTCTGTGTTACAACTGAAATTTTTTTTCCTTGCTGCAAAGATTCCAGAAAATAATACTAGTGAGATTTGGTTATAAGCTTGAAACTGACTCCTGGCAATGATTTTGCAACAATGTAGGCAAACACACAGGAGCCAACACCCTCAGCAGTGAACACTGGTCCCTGTGGGCTTTGCAACACTCAATCTGCCAGGTGTAGCGCTGCCAGGGTCCTCTACAAACTTGTAATCAAGTGCTCATTTTTATTTTGTGGTTGCTTGTAGCATTTTGTGGCTAATAATGCCCCCCCCCATCAGTCCTTCTCTAACACTGGCTACTGGATCAAACCACCTAACCTTGTATGGAATAAAATCTAAAGTCAACACTGCTCTGTCACTCTAGAATTAAGTCATTATCTGTGGCAATCTCCAAATCAACATTTTTACTTCAACCATCTCTGTTTCCTCAAACAGTAAACATTTTCTTCTTCCCCACGTGGGAGTCTCTCTTCTGACAGACCCAGCGGTAGCACAGTTCTGGTCTTGTAGTGAGAATTTGTGAAACCAGAGAGGTCAGGCAATCTGTCCAGGTTGCACAGCTGGTGATAAGCTGAAGCTAGGCCCCTCTTAAGTCAGAATGGGATGATGCAGTGCTCAAGTGAAGCCAAGTCACAGGATACAGATTCTGAACATGTCACAAAAACCCAAGAATAGCTTGGCACGTTGGCATACATGTGTAATTGCAGTGACTCAGGAGGCTAAAGCAGGAAGCCTGCAAGTTCAAGGATAGCCTCAGCAACTTGACAAAGCCCTAAGCAACTTAGCAAGACCTTGTCTCATAATAAAAATAAAAGGGCTGGGGATGTGGCTCAGTGGTTAAGAGCCACTGGGTATCCTCTGATACAAAAGAAAAAGGAAAAAAAATCTAAGACTACATTTCTAAGGGAGCGTTCCCCAAGGACTGTCTGATCCTGCCTCGCAGTCAGAACCATTCCCATCAGCCCTGTAGGAGGAGGAGGAGTGACCCCACGGGGCTGCTGCACACACACACACACACACACACACACACACACACACACACACACACAGACCTATCCAAGAGCACCCTAAGCCTCCTCTTCCGGCATCACTACCACAGCCTCACTTCACAGAGGAGAGCTGAGGCCCTGGGTGTCGCTGAGCTGGAGCCAACGGCCTCTACGTGGGAGCTCCCTCTCCCTCCTGAAGAGCCAGGCTAAGGGGAAGTGACCACTGACTGCCTGTCTAGGGGCATGGTGTGGCCACATCAGCTTCTGCAGGCGGGCCCTGTGGGAGGCAGAACAGGGCACAGGCGCGGCTGGGTGCACAGGCGCGGCTGGGTGCACAGGCAGAGGCAGGCAGTCGGGTCACAGCTAGGCAGTCTGAGGTTGTGATCCAGAAACGTCACTTTGCCTTCAGGGTGGGAACAAGCCAGAGGGCATGGGGGAGACTCCAGGCAGCCAGGTGGCACATGGTACAGGGAGGAGACCAGCTGGGCCAAGACCAAGGCAGAGGAGCAGGTTGGCTGGTAGGAAGGAGGAGGGCCAGGGACAGGGCCCAGGCTTCAGATTCTACACTGGAGGTGCCCAGGTACAGCCCAAGGCAGCAGGAGGGGCATGAGCAGGGCACAGGAGGCCATTGCTGGGTCAAGCAGAGGCTGCATACATGGTGCAGGAGGAACCTGCTCCAGCCAGGCCTCAGGGCACCACCTGAACCCAAACTAGTACTGGGCTGGCACCCGGGCCTCTGCCCAGCCCTCCCAGTGGGAGGTGAGTGCGGCTTGTACTGGTAACCTTTCACAGTTGGTGCCTCTTCACCCATAGATGGCCTCTATGGCCCAAGGGCCATCTCCTCCTCCTGCATAACTGGCACCACCTGCAGCTGGCAGCTCGGATGCTGCTCAGTGACAAACACAGCTAAACATGCCCGGCCTACCTGCTGTGGCTTCACGGCTTTGCCCTCGTCCCAGCCCTCCCGAGACTCCAGACCACCAGCAGCTGCTGTCTGAACAGGGAATGGACCAAGTGCAGGTGACTGAGGAGGCTGGAGCCAGGGCCTCAGCAGCACCAGCTGAGCCCCAGCAGGTGGGTGCTCCTCCAACAGAAGGTGTGGCAAGGCCAGAGAAGTAGGACTATGGTGGGTTGAGTGAAGCCAGAAGCTCCTGTCAGTCCCACCCGTGATCCCGCCTGGCCTTCCCAAGTCGCAGAATGGCTCCGCCCACAAAAGGAGATGCAGACACAGGAGGCAGAATGAGAAATCCTTTAGAAGAAGTCAGCCTATCCACAGGTGGCAGGTGGACTGGGTCTCCTCCATAGACACACACTTGCCCCCTTGACCCTCACCACAGGCAGCCTGCCTGGCGCGAGGCAGTGTGGCACCCTGAGGTCATACTTGCCCCCACACCTCCCAATGCTGGGTGTGGTCTTCAAAGCAACCTTGTCCCCCGAGAAGAGCGGAGCCCTCCTGGAACTGACTGGCCTTTGGTCCTCAGCGTCTCTAGACCATGGAGACGCAAAGCAGGATCCAAACGAGGACCAGGAAACCTGGGCAAAGCTCCCCTCTGTTCCCAGCCATCCCTCCAGGAAACCTGAGGCACTGGTGGACATGGAGGTCCCACATGGAGGACAGGGTGCATGACTGAAGTTGCTGTTCCACACACTGGGCAATACACCTCATTTCAACAGGACCACGTAACTGGGGACACGGCTCAGGAACAAAGTGTTCCTGGGTTCAATCCTTAGCACCAAACAAAACAAAACCAAGGACTCAAAAGCACAGCGCGTCCACGGCAGCAGGACAGGGTGCACTCTTGGCCTCAGAGTTCCCAGCAGCTCTCTGACAGAAGAGCCTGTTAATCTCCCCAAACAATGGGTGGTGGAGAAACCACTCTGGAGCCACCTGGCGGCAGTCCCATGTGGTGCCCCTGCAGGTCTCAGAGGGATGGGCACCAGCCACCCTTATCAGTTCCACCAGACTGAGCTCACTTAAGTTTGACAAAGGATCCCCACAGCAGAGATCCCAGCTGGAGTCTGAAAGCAAGCAGGGTTGGGAGGCCTGGAGCTCAGACTGTGTCCTCAGATGAAGCTGTTGACTCAAAAGGACACCCAAGTGCCCAGGGCCCGCCTCTGGTAGGAAGCAGCCCAGGTGGGTTCCTTCTCCAACACAGGGGAATGGGCCTCCTGAGGTTCCGGAGGCTCTTCTGCCCGGGCAGGAAGCCTCAGGGAGGGAGCAGGCGCTAAGGATTGAACCCAGGGACACTTTGTCCCTGAGTCATGTCCCTC